GGCCATTTCTGGCTTATTAGCCATCGCCAAGCAGGCATACCCAGACCCAAGTGGCGCCCCAGCCGAGTCTCGAACTGGCGACCTTCTTGATGGGAGTCAAACGCCCTAACCATTGAGCCACGAAGTCGTTGTCTTGCCGGTTGTAGGTCGGGAATATTTAAACTCGTTGACGGACGTTCACCCGACCGCTGACGGGATTAATCTGTCCCGCTCTACCTAGGGCTGTCAGGGATTTTGTCGAGGCCCTATGCAGGGCGGGACAGATGAGTTACGTTAGCAGTCGAGTGAACGCTCGTCAACGAAGTTTGTTGTGTTAAATTGTTTAAATGCATGACAATATCGTCTCATTTGTGGATAACACACTCGAATCCGATATGAAAACCCACTAATTGGAGACATCAGCTTTCAGCGCAAAAAAGCTATATGATGGTTTTCAAGTGCTTAAAAAAAGTTCAGGCATGTACTACTCAATAGGGGGGTCGCCCCTACGCATAAAGCACTAGGGTAGCCATTGTACACAGCCTAAGTAAACTATCCCGACTTTTCATGATAACTATCGTGTATCTTTTCCCATTCTGGTGCACAAAACCCTTTTTCGACTAACTATTTAACCGGCCTAAGTAATGCCGCTTAGAGAGCCTGGGATCAAACAAGATGGTCGAAGTATTCAAAACAGTCCTATTTATTGCTAATAGAAGTGAATATGGGAGTTCCAGGAAGCAGTTCAGCAGAAGAAGATGCAACCACTGGAACAATATTTCATTTTCCTGGCGTTTCTGATTCCGACGGTAATCCTTACGCAGAAGTAATGTTAGGATAATCTGAGTCATGCGCCGATAGGAGCCCATCTTCAGATATGGACTATAAGAGTTCGAAAGCTCAGGACAATAAAGAAATTGATCCGGTGCTCGAAACGTCTTCTTCCTTGTCTATGCAAGTGCCTGGAACGCAAACCTTTTCATTCATTAAGAGGGTAAACTAGTCCTAGAAGATCTCCTGCCGATGGGTTTTAGTAAACAAATTGTAATACCCTTTGGCTATTCCGTGTCCTATCGACCTGACTCCTCTAAAAAAGGAAGCAAACAGCTGGAACGGTGAAGTCAGCAGTCTGTGAAAACCAGTATCAATCAAGCCGTGGATGACCATATTACGAGGAACAGGCTACACATATTGTAACACATTACGTACATGGCAAAACATTATAGAGCAAAATGTTTTCACTAAAACGAAGGAAAACAAGCGATCATCTGACTGGGATAAGCCGGAAGCTTCAGGTCTCCTCCCAAAGGATGAACAAACTGCAAAAGCGTTTCTCCGTTTGACAGTGTTAATGAGTTATAATTCAGTACATGTAAAAAGGTCGGCAGAACTTTTGAAGGCCTTATTTACAGATAACATACAGCAAAGCGTGAACATCTTACAGAGCGATAGAGGCACGTTTTTACAATCGTTCAAATATGCAACCATTGAATAAAATTTATCAAGTTTTATTAACACTGATTTTTGAAAAGGCGTTTCACGGCGTCCCATGTAAACGCCTTATCTATAAATTATCTGAAATTGGAATAAGAGGGAACCGGCTGACATGGATCATATATTTTCTCACAGCCATCGCAAACCATGTGCATCGGTGCCCCAAAGCCAACCCCATATGCATGCT